CATCCCCTTCTCCGGATTTTCCTCAAATTTTTGTGCAACTCTTTGCTTGGCCGCCCCAACAACCATCACACTCGGATAGGGGATGTAGCCATTCTCACTCTTGCTCTTTTCCGTAATCCCGTTGAGTTCAACATTTGTAACTTAATTTGGGATCATCTTGAGAAAGCCATCACAAAAGGGGGAAACATTGTCCTAGGGGGAGTCATCATGCATTTGGCTTCCAAATTTGGTTATGTGGATAATGCCACAATTTCTAGAGATTCATTAATGCATCTTGCATGGTTATCCAATGCACAATTGATCTCTTTGGGTAACAAAGACCATAACGGAACACAACGCTATAAATGGCACATGAAGTACCCCGAACCCACCAAATATTTTCCCCTCCCTTGTGAAGAATTACCTAGACTTAGGTATAGAATGGAGCCATTTGACATCCCCCACTACCTCCTCCCCAACAACATCCCACCACACCTCCAACCTCAAGCCGACCAAGCCGAGCAACCCAACCCCCAACCGGAGCAACCCGAGCATCAAGAGGGATATGAACATGTCCAACATGATATCCCCGATCTCCCCCAAAACCCGCCACCACAAGACTTCTTCCAACAACTCTTGGCGGGTCAACAATCCCTCTTAACCGGTTTCCAAACAATGAGCCTTGATTACACAAAGATGGGAGAGCAATTCACCCAACTTCAAGGAGAGATAGGCCACTACCGGAACGAGCAACAAGAAAGAGACCGGCGATTTGATGCATACCGGGAGGAGCAACGGGTGGCTTTTCAAAGGTTGGAGGAACAACGGGCGGCCGACATGCAACGATACGAGGAAGACTACCGGAGGATGTATGGGCCGACATATTCTTACATGTCCCAACTTGGCGTGTTTGCATCTATTGTCTCACCACCACCGGCACCTTCTTGGTATAACCCCTCCGATTGGGGTAATTTTGGCGGCTCTAGTTCCGGCATGGGTGGTTATGATGGCGGGGACACTACCATGGGCGAGGGAGGCGGTGATGACATGCACGGGACCGGCTTTGGAGGAGGCTTTTATGGTCGAGAAGGCGGGCACTAGGGATAGTGCCATGATTCAAGTGTGGGGGAGGAAGATTATCTCTTGGTATGTGCACTTCTTTGTTTTTACCTTGTACTAAGCATTATTTTCTTGTATTAGTTGTACACAAAAAAAAAATTAATAAAAGAAATGAAATGCTAGTTAGGTTGAAAACCCAAAAAGGGCAATCTAAGCAACAAGGGCTTACAAAAAAAAATGATGAGTGAGTGGTAAGGAAAGAAAAAAGAACAGAGATGCTGGGATGAAAACCTGAAAAGGCTCCTAGACAAAATGAGAGATATGAGAGAGAAATTTGTGTTTTGCAGGACATCATCTCTTGGAGAAGAGGAAGAGAAGAGGAAAAGAAGGAGAAGCAAAAGAAGAAGAAACAAAGGGCATAGAGGACTAACAAACCCAAGAAAAATGTCGTTTTATGAACTCATTTACAACCTTGGTGGTCTTGTGCTCTTTCTTACTATTCTTAAAACTTATTATCTTTGGTTGAACATTGTGTAAACATTTGGTTTTACTCGAGGTCGAGTAAAGAAACTAAGTGTGGGGGGGTTGACATTCATGTTATTTCCATATTTATATTTGTGTTTTTGACTAGTTTTGAGTGATTGTTACTCTAGAAATTACACACTTTTGGTGTAATAGTTTAGTTTGTAAAATGTTTGTAAAATTGTTTAGAATAGGTTGATTCTGAGCTCAAACAGGTCCAAGACCACTCTAGAGACCATTGGTGAACATCACAAGTGGAAGGAAGGTGCAAAAAGTCCAAGAAAAAATGAAGATCCTGAATTTTGGTGTTGTACCCGGTCGAGTATGACCCATACTCGATCAGGTAAGTCGCTGAAAAATCAAATCGGATCAAACCGGGAACAAGGCAACATGCAGGGGAGATTTTGACCACGATCGAGTGTCCATACCCGATCGGGTAGCCGACATACTCGATCGGGTATATCCACGTTTTTCCAGCTTCCACGAAGCAACTGAAGGCCCGGTCGAGTACCCTATATACCCGATCGAGTACACGACCCTGCAGGCCTAAAAATCCTATAAATACACCTCATTTCCTCCACAATAGAGAACCAATTCACATATACTCTTTAGCTCAGTTTAGATTAGTATTTTCTTTATATTTTCTAGCATGTTTAGTCTCCAAATGAGGAGCTAAACTCTTCCATCTTGGTTTTGCTACTTTGAAGCTTAATGAATTTGTAAGTTGTGAGTTATTCTCTTTAATCTTCTTCCTTGAATATTAATTCTTCCTTTAAATACTATTTCTATATCAATGTTGGGGAGTGTTACTAAGATGACAATTAGTTAACATCTTGACATTAGTTATAGTAATAGCTATTTCTTCCTCTACGTTAATATTGGGGAGTGTTACTAAGATGACAATTAGTTAACATCTTGATATTAACTATAGTAGGATTCATCTTCTTTAATATTCTTTCTTGAGTATTAATTAATTCCTATTCATATTTCATATTAATATTTTTGAACATTACTTAAAGGATCAACTAGTTTTGTTTCATATATTAATTAATACTAGAATCGGTCGATTAATACGCTTGTTATTAATTCGGTCCTTTCATGGTAGTAAACTTGGATTATTAATGCATGCATCTCATGGTTAATAATCTAAGGGGAATTAATTATATTGATTAAACCAATAAACCGCTTGTGTTGAGGTTATCAATCTCAATCGTTTTCATCTTAAGTTTATTACTACTATCAAGTTAATATACGGCGCTTGTTCTATGTTGACTCGATAGTAAGTTTTATTAATGAACGCTTCTCGTTATTAATAACTACCCTCGATGAACTGGATATACTCCTCGATTGAGTATTCGAGAGGAAGATAGTTAAAGATATAACCGGGATCGACGAACATTTCATTAAGTGGATAAAAGCAAAGCCAAGTCTCCTTCTTATTAATTAAACCACATAACTCGTTCATCTTCGTGTTTAAAGATAATTTAAATTCATCAACCAAACATAAAAACCCCCCTGTTATTATTTATTTATTTCTATAAAAAGAGAAGTGTTCCTTTCCCTGTGGATACAAACCTTACTTCACTATACTACGTATTAGTGTCGTATTGATATTTATTTTGAGTGCACCTCACGACAAGTGCACGTCATTATTCATTCAAAAAAAACCTTGAAGAAAAAATTAACAATTTGGAAATCACTTGTCCCAATATTATGTGCAAGTAAATTTATTAAGATCTCTAAATTATGAAAAATACTCGTCATTCTTCATTTATTTGGCAATTAAACTTATTAATAGAGGGGATTTTGCGCATGAAAAAGTATAACACAAGGGGTTTGACACATTTTTAAATCATATGTGCTAACGCGTCAAGTTTACATATCACGGAGAGATTTGGTGCATTAAACTCTTAAAAGAAATTAAGGGTAAAGTATAAAATACATGTAGGAACATTTTCTAAAAAAGAAAACATAAACTTTGTATTCTGGACAACACAAAAAGAAATGCACAAATTGTTCTTAAAATGGTTCTTATAATGCGATGATATAAAAAAGGGAAAAGGGTTACATAAAAAGTTCAAATCACCCCTTTTATATGAGGTTCTGTCAAGCCGTCGTCATTTGGGGAGGTTCCTGATGGAATTGTTTGATGAATTTTTTTGAGCATCTTCTTCATTAAGTTTAGCTTACATATACCAAATTTCAGCTAAAAACTCAACCGATAAGGCAGTCAAATGATTTTCTGAAATGCACTGCGTTGTTTAACTGCGCAGTTATCTTCAAAAACTCATTTGACTACCTTCCCGATTGAAGTTTTAGCTGAAATTGGTATGGGTAAACTAGATTTAATGAATAAGATGCTCAAAAAATTTCATCAAAAAATTTCACCGGGAATCGCCCCAAATGACGACGATCGGACAGAATCTCATATAAAATGGGTGATTTGAACTTTTTATATAAGTTCAAGAGCCTATCTAACCCTTTTACCTATAAGACCATTTGTAGTGGTTTGGGATTAGGAGTCAAAAGATTAAAAATGGAGATTTTAGACTCTTATTTGTGTGTAGGGGAGGATTAACAGAGGGAGTAAAAGATGAAAGGGGAGTGTAGGAGTGTAAATATAGAGGGAGGGGTTGACGGTCAAAAATAAATAAAAAAGAAAAGAAAAAGGGGATGTGATGGATTCGTACGCTGCATGCCGGGCCAAACCATGTTTTCGCTGACATCATGATGACATCATTATAACCCCAAATTGTTTTAAACTCTTGTAACTTTTTTATCTGTTCTTCGAATTTTTCAAAATATATATCAAAATTCATAAAATTTTATGATCTTTCATATGACACCAATATGTAATATATAAAATGAAACACAAATTTTTAATTCATGGAATCTTCACAAATAACTGAATATTTCATAATCGAACTTTACTTGAACTAAGTTCATTTTTGTTAACCGAAAACATTAAAAAAAAATTAATGAAATTTATTTATTTTTATATCGAAATATGTATTTTTTATTTCACAATTATTTAGGGAAAATATTAAACAGAAAACATTACTTATAATAAATTAATTAATGTTTTACTAAATTGATATGTAAAAAAATATGTTGAGTGTATTTTATTGACGGTGCACAGATGCAGGGAAAAACAGTATTGACGGAGTCAAAACACTGTTTTTATATGGACGGAGTCCAAAACAATTTGGACTCCCAACCACTACAAATGGCCTAAAAGACTGCCCCATAAGCAAAATTCCCTGCTTCGAACAGTTCATAACTTCATATTGTTAAAAGAGGCAATATGAAGGGCATTGACTGCTATATGGCCCACAGCACATGCAAATGCCGCATTAGTCAATGTTCACCAGCTATCCAATTCCCCTTTCCATTTTATTCTATTGCCAAGAGAGAATAAAAAGAATATGCATGCCAACTCCTTAAGTACACTTTACAATCAACTACTTACCATAGATTTAGGATATCCATGAGTGTATATTTATCTAATCTCACTAAATGAAATGAAGTCATGAAGTACTACTCTCTCTATATGTCAACTCCTGCATGGAATAACTACTAATCCTCTGTTTTTTTCAGATCTTAGCCACTCAAACTTTTTGTACAGATAACTAGATAAGTAGTCCCAAACAGCTAAACAATGAGCAAGAGGGAATAAATGTGTATTAGTTATAGTTAATTAATAAGAAAGAATACAAGTTCATGAGCCACACCAAAAGAATATATAAATGTATGAATCAGAGATCCATCTTTTGAATCATGGGAGGAAATCTTACGGAACACCTTTAGATTTTTAAGGGGCCCACTCAAAAGGTTAATCACTTCCCTAATTGCTTTCTTAATCAACATTAGGAAGCTCCATCAGTGCCTGTGGCAAAAACAAATTGTAATAATGTGTGTATGTATAAGGTGATGAGGCAATAATAAATGGGATATTTCCCAAAATAGAAATAAAAACAATGTGATATTCCAAAATATGAATGATGTGTTTTCCCCTAAATATGAGTAAATTACTGATATCTTGAAATCATAGTGCCATATTTTGACATTATCAGGCACTGATATGATGGAATTAATGTCATAATCGGCTATATTTTCAAGCAATGACAGTAATTATATTTAATTAGGAGAGAAACATAGTATACCTATTTTAGAATATCATATTTTTTACTCTTATAGGGCAATTTCTAATTATAATAAACAATTTTTTTACTCTTATAGGGCAATTTCTGATTATAGTAATAAAAAAGGGAAGAGAGAGAAAGTCTTTAGTAGCAGAAAGGTTTTCACTTACATGGTATAGTTTCCATGAAATATAAGCATCTGTGGCAGCATAATCAAGTTGTTTCTCAGATAAAATGTCAGTCTCCCAATTTCCCAATCTGATGAAGTTTTCTTTAGGAAGCTGCGAGAATCCAAAACCTTCAATTGAATCTCACATTGAGCAAGAAGTCCTAATATCATGACTCAAACGTGCAAAGTAAAGAAGCTCATAACAAGTTCCAAACAACCTCTTGGTGAAGGAATTCTAGAGATAAAGATGATAAACTCCTTTTTGAAGGACCTCCATGAACCTTTTGGTTTGCCAGTGTAGACAGATCTACTAAACTACTTACACATACATTATGATCTTTGAAAGCCTTTTTAGCATCAATAGCAATGCCTACTCCAACCTGCACATTTGTACCAATAAAACAACAATCACAAGAGTTACTCTGTACTACATTATTTAAGAAGTAAAAATAGCAACACAAGTGTGGTACATTTTGTATACAGGAAATTCCAGAAGCTTTGAGACGAAAGATGAACCTTTGGTATTGTGTTGTTCTCAAGAAGCAATTGTAGATTCTGGGAGATTCCAGAATGGAATATGTGAAAAACATAACAATTGTCCATGTCTCCACAGATCTGCATAACAGCAGCCTTCCCAGGTGAAACCCCTGCACAGAGACAGCCATTATTCATCTGTTATAGTAGACTGCCAGAAACTAGACACTACGGTACATTAACATTGAAACAAAAGGAACCCCATACTTCTAAGTATTAACATATCGACAAACTCAAAATTATTAAAACATCGTTCTCTCACTTTCTGATTGAGATTTCATTGGCAATAGATCATTTGTTTATCAATTTTGAGTATTATGGAGTATGTAATTAAATTCTGGAAGTCAATTCAACTACTTTATTGCAATAATAATACACTTTCTGCTACCATCAAGAATTCTGTCACTGCATATGTTTCCTTTGCAATTAAACTTTTCATCATTTGTGTACATTATGCACATTGGCAATGGGCAAATAATGTTCAATTAAACTTTCATAACATTTTATTTTTTTTTTAAGGAAATTTCCCAAAATAGTACTCCGTAGTAAAATACAATGTGACATTCCAAAATAGAAGTGATCTATTTCTTTTCTTAAATAAGTAATTGTCATCCTGAAATGACACTGCCATCTTTTGACATTACAAGGCATTAATACGACAGTATATGTCATAATTGGCAGTATATCCCGAGAATGCCACTAATTACTCTTATTCAAGGAAACAAATATAATACTCCTGTTTTGGAATATCACATTGTTTTTAGTTATACTTCGTGCAATTTCTGTTTGTTTTATTTGTCCTCTATAAACTGGGACAGGGAGGTTAAAAAGTGATGGCTTGCCCGTCGTTTAAATTTCAATTCTGAATAAAAATCTTGAAAGCTTCAATCAAAAGGCATACTGAAGGAAACTTAACTTCCAGAATGACAGTATAACAAAAATGAAGAAATTCATAGTGTGGGTCAAACAAATAAACAAAAAGTTAATTAAGAGAAAGAGAATCTGATAAAGGAGCCAACTCTAGCTAGCACATAATTCAACTGTGATGAGCTTCTATTTTATTCCATAAACTTGGCAAGAAAAAGTTATCATCGTATTTTCTTTTCAAGAATAATGGAAAGCAGACCTTTTTTAAAACTAGGCTTCCATTCCATGTCAAATCCTAGAGCAACAGCCTCTTCTTTACTTCTCCTCTCTTCAACGAGACGGAGAATCTTCTCTGCAGATCTCTCGACCTCACATGCAGTTCTGCTATATATAACTCGGCCTCCATATGCCAATGTTCGCAGCATCATTTCTGAACAATTCAATTTTCAGCCCCTTAAAAATGAAAAAAAATGAACATTTTCAGTTAAACCAACCCAAGATAAGTGGCGTAATTTATTTTACACTGGCTAGAATTCAATAATAAGAGCATGAAATGCATGTAAATTATGAACATTAAACAAATAAATATCATCTTAATTCTTAAAGAAAGGTCACTTCAAAGATGCATAGTAAAAACAGTTACTTTTTTACCTTGACGTTTAGAAATAGAAATCGGTAAACGAGGAATTGGGGGTACAAGATAATTAGGGCTATGGCTTTAAAAGGCTCATTAACAACTTTCAAGCGGCTCCATTATAAACTACTCCGACAGTCCGTCCGGCGGCTTTTATACGACGAAGACAGCCTTTGCGATGTTGGGAAAAAACAACCGCGGAAAACAATCTGAACTACTGGAGAGCCAGAAATCTGAATCAAAAGGAAAACTATAATGTCTTTCAAGTTCAGACAAGCGAGAAAGACGTACATTGGTACCCTATCTGAAAACTTACCCGCCAAAACACAGTTGCCAATTGGGTGTTTTGCTTCAATGTCGGAAATTGGGTTGCAATAACTGTCAATTTGGACATCCACCATTCGCAATGACGCAAATATATTCAAATGCTGGCAATTATCTTTAGTGCCTGGGTCCCTTAATTAATTTCCAGCTTAGTTTTCATACCAGTAGGTCCAGTAAATAAATCTAGGGGAGTAAAATTTATTATTTTGATATAGATAATTTGCCAAATAAGAACGTGTGAAGAAAGGGAAAGTTCTTTTCGAGACTGTCCGAAAATGAAAGTGGAAGCTAATTTCAAGATGGAGGGAGTACTTTGAGAAATAATGATACAGACTACGGAGTATAGTTTAGTGTATTTTCCTCTATTATGAACAAATTCTAACCATAATGTATCTTTCACTACACTTGGTGAAAGCAATTGAGAAGTTGCCATACCTTCGGAACCTAGTAGATGAGTGTTGTATACCCACTCCAAAAACTACATCATTCAAACTTAAATTTTAATTCAAAACTATTAGTGAATATATTTTTGTGAATATATTTTTGTTTCAGTATCAAAACTATATTTTATATTGCAAATCTTGTGCACAGAAATATAATTCACATTTACAAAAAATTTAATTCACGTTAAGGGAAAAATATAAGTGAATCCAAATGTAAAAACACCAATGGAAAATGGAACTTGAGAAGTCTAAAGATAGTGTAAATCACGTGGATAAAAATCTAACTCACGTACTAACAAAATGTAACTCGTGTTATTGAAAATGTAACTTCACATAGTAACGTGGGCAAATGTAACTTGCGTATCTGAAACGCAATCTTACATAGTGACACATGTAAGTTATGAAAATGATAAACTTTCAAATATAATCCACCCAAAGTTCAAAAAAGAAGATTGTACTTGAAGAAAAGTTGTACGGCTTCAAATACAGTATGAATTTTTTATTTTAGATTAATGAAACTTTAATTATAAATTGATGGAGAAGAAAAAACCTATATTTATTTTGAAGATGAAGAATAGCACAATTGTTATTAGATTCTTAATATTTTGAAGACGAGAAGAAGAGAATTGAAGAATAAAAGAAACAAAGAAAAGAAAATAAGAGGAATCACATAAAGAAATGGCTGCACAAATTGGTGAGAAAGATGAACGAATGGCCAATAAAATAACAAGAGTGTCTGTTTATACTTTTATATATCTACATTATATTGGGATCAATAAAGCATGTGTACACAATGATGATTCCACTATACAATTTGCAAATTTGAGGACCACTTAAATAGTTATTTCTCTGAAACTTCTATACATTTATATTCATATGTATTGTTGTTATTAAAATTATATTTGAAATTATTCATATTTTTCTCACAATGATCTCGTTATTATTGTGTTCTTTTTTTTGAACGAAATGAAATTAATTAGTTAATTAGTATTAATGAGATCAAAAGATAAAGCATTCAAGATACAACTCGGAGGATAAAACGACCACACTTGGTTATCAGACATGGAACCCACCGCTCTAGCTAAGTTATGAGCAACAGAATTCTTTGAATGTCTCACAAAAGAAAATGAGATGTTAGAAAACTCCAAGCTTAACTCCCGAACATCCTCCGCTAGCAAACCTTTACTTGACAGACTTGGACCATTCTTGATCTCATTAATAGCCAACAGTGAATCTGACTCGATCTCGACAAACTCCCAAGGCTGATCTTTCAGCTAGCTTAAAGCCTCATGTATGCTTAACAATTCTGCTTCAAACTCCCAGCCACAAACTCCCCGGCATCATTTCGCACAACCCAACCCAAACCACAGGTCTGATTAAACCAACGAGAGCTGCCCGCTCCAGAGCTTCCCCCTACTTTGCTTCCAGCAAGTTGAAATTTATATTAAAGAAAAGATCATGAAGAGCCGAGTGGGGTCGGGATGTGCTATCTAGGAATGGACCTAATACCAGTTCCCGAATTGGAACGGTGAGTTTTTTCCTAGAAGCCATACCAAACTTTTTCCAGTTCCACAGGGCCAGACCACTGTTTTCATTTTTTACATAGACTAAAAACCAGTCTGGAGCTAGTCTCAAAACCCGAACCTAGCCTATTACCCCGCTCCCAGTCTCAAGAAATGCTATAATCGCACCAGAACAAAACATTGTTCATCTTCAGTGGTGCCCCATTTCCCTTTCTAGTGCCGCATTGGATTCGAACCTTACTGATGACATCATATCTATTGACAAGCATTCTGAAACCTCATATGGAGTGTTTTTTTCAAAGTCCCCCCAAGGGTCAGGCTACTCAACCACATCTTTAATATCGATTACCGACAGACCCACATCGTATCTACTCTACCAGTAACTCGAATTCTCCAGTAGGAGAGAGATAGAGTGAGATGGGGAAATGGTGGGGTAGGGAGAAATTAAAAATGGGATTTAATTATTTTTTTAACGAGAGGGATAGAGTGAAAAAAAATGGAGAGAGTAAATGGAGAGAAGGTAATGGAGAGGAGTATGCCTCCCCATTCCCCAACGAATTTTTGTGTACACACTATCAAGAGACAACATGCATGTCTGTGAGTAACTGAGTACTATGCTTAGAGAAATAGTCTCAGTGTCTAAGGTGATGTAAGAATCACAATTCCCTTTCTGCAAACACTATACCACTTCAAATGTGCCGCTCTACCAAATAGAGCCATTGTGTTTCAATTTATCATTGGCAAATTTTAAAAATTAACTCGACCGTTCACCACCACCACCACCACCCCCGGCATCATTTCGCACAACCCAACCCCACATGTGTTTCACATTTCAATTTTTAAACTGGCTCAAATTTGAAAAGGAAATGAGAATGCAGGATTAGTTATGTAATATTTACCAAACAAAGCCCTTTGTGCTGTATAACATTCCAATCTGGAAACAACAAAAAAAACATTTAAGGACCAGATCAACCAGAGTGGCTGCTAACCATTGTCAGACTTGACAAGTTACACACAAAAAACCGGGCATGTTAAATGAAAGTCAAATGTGTGAGAACTGACAAGTGCCAAACTTGCTTCACTTTTCCGCCTGCCCAAAGTACCTCCCAGATATTGTTGCCAAAAGATTGAGCATAATAACTTCATCATCCACCATTGTTTTTTCAGCTCTCAAGCTTGCACATTTGCGGAGCAAAGATCTCAGGGCAGCTGAGGTGTCAGCATCAAGTGGAGAATCAACAGCTGCGCATAAAGCGAATAACCACAGGCAATCATCCCTTGAAGCTGTGGCTGTACTTTCAAAGACAGCGATCCGCTTTCTAAGCAATGAAGCTCGAGCCACTGGTTCCATCCCTGAAATAGCTGAAAGTGTGGGGCAGGGATTCTTAAGAGCATTCTTGTCACCTTCATTAGTTTGGATGTGATCATCTCCTGATGTTGTGCTATCGGTATCTTCAGTGATGCCTTTTGTGAGGTGATGTGATGATTGTTGTTCCTGATCAACATAAAATGAGAACAGTGGACCACAAATGCTAACATCAGGGCCTTCTATTTGTGATAAAACCTGAAAAAGATTAATGCAAAAATTACTTGCTACTTAGCCTGAAAGTGTGTCCAGACTCCCGAAAACATGCAAATGGAGGACATACAGTAAATACCAAACTTAGACAGGAAAAAGAACCCTGAGTTAAATATCCTCGATACAAGAAATGGAAGTGATCAATTAAGTATGTACCGAATCCTAGGGAAAATGTTAAAAGCAATGGTTTTTTTTTTGTATGTATAGTTTTACCATGGGATACCAAGTAAATGAAACGGTATTATTGATATATTCTTTGTAATTCAAACTTATATATATATATAGGGTAAGGTTCAAGTGAGAAAAACCCTTTAGGTGAGAAGTGAGAATGAATCTCAACCGTTGGATTCGACTATTTTGCAGTAAAAAAAACACTTTATATTGCACTAAAATATGCAATCCACTTTGGTGGCATTTTCTGAAAAATCCGTCTTACAGCCATCTAGTGCAACATGAAACTGTTTTGGTGCAAGGTCGTCAAACTTTAGTGCGATATGAAACAGTTTTAGTGCAACACTGCAAAAAATTAAGTCTTACTGCAACATCAAGCTATTTTCAGTGCAAAATCGGAAATCCAACGGCTGAGATTCATTCTCATTTCTCACATTAGATGCATTTCTCATATATATATATATATATATATATATATATATATATATATATATATATATATATATATATATATACCTGAGTGTTTATATAATAAGTATGAAAAAAGAAATCGACTGTCAAAGTATATCTGATTTCTTTCTACTGAATTTTAGCCTGTCCTTTACTTTCCCACATTTTTTCTTTAATTCTAATTTCTAACTTTCCTCGATGTTTTCCTTCATGATATAGTTCCCTTGTACTTTCATGGATTCAAAAAGATCCTAAGGATATGTTTGAATCATGAAAAATTGTAAGGAAAGGGAAATTGGGGAGTAGTCAATTTCTTGTGTTTGATTTTACCTTAGAAAGTGCAAAATAAAACGATTGATGCTTTTGTAATTCTTTCGTATCTTTAAAGCTCTTAGTCTTTTTTTTAATAGAAATATATAAATTTATAAAGCAAGTTTGAGCAAAATAGCAAATATTAAAAACATGAGTTTGAACCAATCTTTTATTTACACCAATATTTTATTCTCCTCCAAATCCCATGTACTTTCCTCAACTACTTTCTTTCCCTGTCATTTTCTGAGCTCCAATCAGACCGTAAGGAATATTACCCCCTCCAAAATACAAACACAAAAGATTCCTAACAGTAAAGTAAATTGCAGAAATCGGTCAAGCGGGACACCGGTTTTGAGTATCGATTTCTTACATCAATCATTCAGTTATTTTTCTTGTCTTGCAGCACCATGAGAAGAGGGGGATTAATACATACGGAGTATCATTTTACATGTGGCTTTTAGCATTTTATCAGTAAAGGATAACTTCTAATGCTTGCAGATTCTTAAGAAGATGAAGTCACAATGTTGTAACTTTTGGTAGCAGTTAAATTCAAAACTTACCAAGGGATTACCAGTGCAGCCTTGTGCTAAAATCCAACTTCGAATTTCAAGAGACTCGAGGATTGATTCACTTAAAAAACATTAGACATCCTCATTTTTTGTATTTAACAAGAGGGTGTCAGGATTTATGCTCCATAATACCAAACTCTTTAATCTGTACTTACAAATAGGAGAAATTTGGCCTAATCCTAATATCATGAAGTGATTGAGACCCATCCACAGCCTACCCCCCACCCTCTAAAAGAAGCAACTAAGAACCATTGCTGATGAAACCACATGGACGAAATGTTTCTAAACAAGTGAAAACAGAAAGAAATACCAGTCTCAACTGTGAGAAATAAGCAAGGAACTCATCCTCCCACTCTTTAAGGGGTAGTAAGTGCTCTGGGCAAGTCGCAATATCGGGAATACAGGGCATATAAACACTCTGTTCTTTCTTTATCTTGCTTCGTTCAATCTTGCAAACCTTCACTTTTGGCAAACGTTCTGCTTCCCACCTTGGATCATCGAGGCCATACATAGAATATACAGAGGTACAATAAAGTACATGGAGCGGTAAGTTCATAGATATATCAAATGAAATATTATGTGAGATGATGTATATCCCACTACTCCACATTACACTTTTCTAGTTATTGCAAGTCAGATTCTTATTTCTACCAACACTTATATAGCCGTCATAAACACTAATGAACTGACCATGCTATGACCAAACCTCCCACCCTCTCAACACAAGTAAAATCAAATAATGTACTGTATGAGAAAAAGAAGCAACAGGGATTCATATGACTTGCAAATGAATGAGCATAGATGACAATTTGACAACCCCATAAAGAGGATATCACGTTTTAATGGCCCGATTTCCTAATAAAACGCATGAGGTTGCACTGAAGGTGTAAAATTCAGCCTCAATACTGTCTTCGAAAACTTACCCTTTAATCAAGGTGTGATGTCCTACTTCCCTACTTACGATCTTGGTCACCATTCACCAGCATGAGAGCTCATAAAGTCATAATAACAAATTCAGTGTAAAAACACACTACTACAAGAGGTGTGGTGCACAATAGAGAGTAGATAATTAGAATTGTAGGGAGAGAAACTAGATATTTTTTAGTAAACAAAGTATCAATGACATAATGTACCGACTTGGTAAAATAGATATAGAATAGTTTGTTTCAATCTTCAATTAACAAATCAGGAGCATGAAATACTTTTTATATGCTATCATGTATAAAGATACATGATACATAGATTGATAGATAGACTTCTGAATTTGCGATAGCTTGAAACATATACCAAGTATAAGCTATTACTCAAAACAGGATCTTGAGCAAGCCATTTGAACAACCAAGTGAATAAGCAAAGCTTGAAGTATTATAACAATATATAGTTTGCATATAATGAGAGGAGTATGTTTATGTTTGAAGGATATGTACCTCACACGCCTGAGATATTCTAATCCATCTTCCGGAGGACCCGAATCAAAGTCGGGTTCTCCCTCAACAAAAAATGCAGGCCTTTGGATACTAATACAATCATCATCGCTATCATCATAGTTGGTGTCTTCTTCCACCACAAACGAGTCTTCATTTTCATTGCTCTCCTTCTGGCCTGAGTTGCATAGTGTATTAGGCTACTACTAGCTATATACATTCAACAAATTGAAAACCATCTTATAAGACCCCAGTAAATTAACAAGCGTGAGTTGCACACTTTCATTTTATCCCTTTACAACTTCAGCAACGGCAGATTTAAGGGAAGGGAGCTAATAATTTGCACATGAGCAAACATAGAATAAGAAACAATACCAAATGAGACATGGCCTCGAGCCTTGCCTAGCTGTCTCCGTGGATCAAAGTCCACTAGATTTTTCTTCTGATTGGTAGAACGAAGTAGGCCATTATAATCCTTTTGCACATCGAGCCCTAATCCACAGTAAACCTCGATCCACTTCTTCCTCTGCTCTTCGACATTCAAAAACCTCATTGCTTCCAACTCCTCTCTAGTCAACTTTCCTCTGACTTGATAATCCTCCGCAGCAACATTAACAACGGAAGTATTACTATTTTGGCTTGGCTTGTTCATTCCTTCTTCTCCTCCGACTGGATTCTCAAAATTACCCGCAATATCCTGCTGTAGGGTGCTGCCGGAATCAAGGGCTGAATACTGTTTCGCTTCGGAAATGGCCATTTGAAGAAGTCTGTCTTCTTCATTATCGTCGTCAAGGGTGTGCAATGAAGGAAGATTTTCTTCGGTGTCACTCGCCATGACTGTTCCTTTCTGAGACTGACCTTCGGAGTATGATCAAGGAGCCCGGGAGAAGACTAGACGAGGGCATAGAATAGCCATATGGGGTTTTGGGTTTTGCACCGAGAATAATCTAATCGAGTTGAGAGCCTACTTTAGTTAAATTTTGCACTCAAAACAATTGAATGCAAAATTTAGAGTTTTTATCAAAATTAATGCTAAACAATAAATTACTTGTATTTACATAATTATGGCTTGATTAAAAGTATATACCAAACTCCGTAGTGATTAGGGTTAGGAAAATCAATGAAAGGCGGCAAGTGAGTTAGCCACTTAGAGCATCCACAATGGGGGTATCAATTGCTAAAAAATGAATTGCCACGTCAAGTTGCGCTCAAATTGTCCTCCGCAATGGGAAAGTGTATTTTGGCTATCATGCTGAGTTGGATTGGAAAATAGGGGACACTGTCGATCCGGCTTTCTAGTTTCAGCAAGGGCTTCTCATTGCCAACTCAGCAAAAAGAAATGAGAAAATGGGCAAATAAGCCCTCGAACTAATCAAAAAAGTGCAAATAAACCTTTTACAGGAGGTTCTGACTAATCATCGTCACTTCGGGAGGTTCTCGGTGGAATTTTTTGATGAATTTTTTTGAGCATCTTCTTCATCAAGTCTAGTTTAGCCATACCAAATTTCAGCTAAAAATTAAACCGGGAAGACACTCAAATGATTTTCGAAAATATATTGTGTTGTTTAACTGCGCAGTTATCTTCAAAAATTCATTTGACTGTCTTCCCGTTTGAATTTTTAGCTGAAATTCGGTATGACTAAACTAGACTTAATGAATAAAATGCTCAAGAATTTTCATCAAGAAATTCCACCGGTAACCTCCCCAAATTACGATGGCCAGACGGAACCTCCTATAAAAGGGCTTATTTGCACTTTTTTTATTAGTTCGAGGGCTTATTTGCCCCTTTTCCCAAAAGAAATTGAAAATAATTTTACGGAAAACATTTAAGAAATACAGAGTATCAATCCCAAGTGCTTCATTTGACCAACAAACACGGCAGCGCTTCCCTTCCGGCAACGCAGTCACCGAGTCACGTAGCACTCCACTGCCGTAGTAAATGGGACAATCATCTCTCCGTCTGAAAGGTTCTCGTGATATGGCGGCACTCCTCGTCTAGGCGGTAGCGTGAGCATCCCCGTTTTCTCTTCGGCTATCTTCTTCTCCGGCTCGTTTTTTTACCGGCAACGAGAAAAAGGCGATTTGATTATATTAATTAATGAAGAAAACATAGGTGTGTTTAAGATCACATCCATGGTGTTGGTCTTGCAAAAAACGTCCAAGATGTCTTTTTTTGCAGCAGGCCGGACTGCCGGAGTAACCCTGCGCCCCTATCCAGTCGGCCACTTCTTTGCCAATCATCCTGGATCTGCTTTTGTCCATATATATTGATGTGAGTTGATTGAGCAGTTTTGTTGAGTGTTGTTGCCTGCTTTTGTCATATGTGAGGTGAGTATGTATATATATTGTGTATTACGTATGTGAAAATTGATATTGCTTTGCATAGAGAATAGAAGAAAGATGAAGCCGTTGGAGATAAAATTTGATAGCTACTGTCCATGTTTCCACATCAGCTTCATGGGCTATTGATATACCACACGTGTCCATTTTTTGTATGGTGCAATCCACATTTCTATTGGAGATGCTCTTATATGTAGGGGTAGGCAAGAATCCCGGTCCCGTTGTCACATTCCGGTTTATCCCGAAACCGTACCGGTCCGTTTGGGATCCGATTGTTATGTCTCGCCCCGATCTCGTACCGGTTTAAAACAGGACATGACCGGGACACCAAAAGGTTATCCCGAACCGTCCTGTTGTCCCGTTTGTAATAACTATATACGGAGTAGTTTTTAGCATGTGACTAGTTTGTAGTACTATCTCAAAAAATAAAAAGTCTCCCTCCGTCCCACTTATATTGTCACAGTTCCTATTTACTTGGTTAACACTAATCACTCTTAATTTCTTACTTTATATATCAAAAAATTATCAAATTTGATTCAAGTTTTTGCGACTTTGTAAAGCTTTAAATGTAGTTTCTGAATATGTAATTTTTTTCTCTAAAAATGATTTGAGTGCGGACAGGGATCTGTTTGCTTTATAGTCGGTCAAACATCGTAAACCGTAATAAGACAATATAAATGGGACGGAGGTAGTAGTATGTTTCAAGCCCAATTTTTTAAATTAAAAATAATATCTAACATAAATATTTACTAACTTGAGTTTGTATCTCAGTCTCTATATATTTGCATATGAGTATCCCACATCTAGAACACATAATTTTGAATAAAATAATTCTTATTTGCTTTGTTTTGATTTTTTTTTTCTTCTTTTGCTAAACTTAATTAAAATCTAATAGCTTTTAGTTTTTTTTTTGTGATGGATAACTTGTTATGAACATTTGTTGACTTTAAAATGTTAATATTTGGTGCATGATACTTTAGAAATGCTAATATATTTTAATTAGAAATGATGATTTTTGTTATTTAATACTCTTTTGTTAGTTTGGGACGTCCCGAACCGTTCCGAATTATCCTGGTCCCGATTTAAATGGGACAAGACTAGGACAAAGGCATGCCCCGTCCCGTCCCGTACCGTTATTACTAATTGGGTCGGGACCGGTATCACCCTAATCCCGGACTGTCCCGGATCATGCACACCCCTAGTTATATGCTTGGAACCGTAAGTAGCCAACAAAATCGCTCGCAATAAGCTTGTGAAAGTGGGACCCCAATTTAAAATAATCTCTCTATTTTTTAAATTGATACTATCGTATAACTTTTTGATTTATAATACTCCGTATGATTTTTATAAAAAAATATATCAAAGTTCATGATTTTTTATTTTCTGATATCAATATTGCATATATAAAAATAAAAATAATTTTGAAGGCACAATTCGTGTATGATTTTAGGTTCGAATTGTTTCACGAGTGGGTCAAAGTTCCAAAGTTAAGATTTCACGGTTCAAATGTTCAATAGCACAACTTTATGCTACAACTATGGGACATTTAATTTTATTTATTTGTTAAAAGTATCAGCAGGGAATGCTTGTAATAGTTATTTATTTTGTTGATTGAATTTGAATTGTTGTTTGAAATAATTTTTTTAAGCACATGCGCTAAAATAAAATGTTTCAGCCAATAAATAAAATGTCTTCTAAGTGCAGCATGAAATTGCATTATACAATCAGATCTTAATTTTAGAACTTGGATTCAATTAAGAAAAAAATTGAACTTAGAAGCCTCTATCAATTGTATTTTCATGTTTATATACAATATTGGTGTCATATGAAATATAGAAAAAATTATGAATTGCGTTTTTTTTTGTAAAAATCAAAATACTAATATAATAGTTATAGCAAAGTATAAGAAAAGATTCTTTTTTTATATTGTGGATCTCATCCAGCCTTTCGGCTTATTAGCCGATGCTGCTATCCTTCGTATTTCGAATTTTAAACGTAATTCGTTAACTGAGTTTGCGTTTTTTTCAAACAACTCAAATTGAATAAAAAAATATTTTAAATATATTTTTTTCATAAATAAGCAGAATCAGCCAATATAGACACTTCAGCCAAAACTTCATAAATTATTTCAGCAGAATCAGCCAATATAGACACTTCAGTCAAAATTTCATAAATTATTTCACCAGACTCAGTCTATTCAGCCGATATCAATGCTACCAAACTTGCTCTTGATTTTAGAACCATAATCTACTCAAGAAAAATTTTAAACCTAAAATCATACATGAATTGTGTCTTCAAAATTATTTTTATTTTTATATATTCAATATTGATATCATATGAAAGATAATAAAAAATTTTATGAATTTTGTTATATTTTTTATAAAATTAGATTATAAATCACGAAGTTATATCAATTTTTAAAAAGAGAGTTTTTTCTTTAAATTGGGGGTCCCACCTTCATAAGCTTACTGAGTGCTACTTTTTTGTTCCTTGTGCGCTACTTACCGTTCAAACTTCAAAGCATAAGTCGCGGACTCATTTGGAGGCTTTCATTAACTAGGGTTGTTCTTAGCGGTATTTTGGTAAAATACATTTAACTTAACCCTAATTTCGAAAATAATATTTTATTTGACATTAATTTGGAAAAAAGTACAAAATTTACGCATTCAAAGTATTTTACCAATTTTCGTTAACGTAAAATATTTACATGATGCAGTGTGAAATGATTTTAAAGATGTTCTACAATTTATATTGAATAATTATGTCTTTTATGTAAATCTCTTATGTTCCGCATGCAAAGTGATTGTTTTACATCTTATCCAACGCCATTAGAGAAATTTATGGAAACAAGTCTTTACGAGACATATGGCCCTCAATCCCTTACTATAAAATGAACGGTTATTGGAGAGCCATATATGTCCATATGATTCATTTTATAATTGATTCCCTTTACGACTCCATAAAAGAGTCATATGTAGGGGTGTGCACAATTCAGTAAAACGGTCGAATCAAACCAATACTGAAATTACGGTACGTACCAAATATCGAACTGAATTTTTGTTTTAGTAATGGGTACGTATAATTAGGGCTGCACAAGAATAACCCGAACCCGCATAACCCGCATAACCCGCCCGACCCAACCCTACCCGACCCTACTTAATCTGGTATTTGATTTTAAAAAATATTCATGGGTTAAATATGTTTGAACCCGCACCTAATGGGTAGTGTTGCGGAATTAAAATTTCAAACCCGATAGTACCCGACCCGACCGAAGTTCATTTTACTATTATTATGCTACAATGTTTTCTTGGATAATTTCAATTTAAGACCAATGTGCTCTATCTAGGACTTTATGATATAATAATTATAAATAAACATTTACCATTATGACTAGGTGATTATTATATATTTACGTTTTCTTCTAAATAAATTTCCTTTACGGAAAGATGTTTTAATACTACCTAATGTTTTTGCTTATAAAAGATACGAGTACTTGTATTTGTTTGTGTATTTTGGAAACAAGTTAATCGAGTTTTAAATTAGTTGCATTAATTTCCCATATGAAAGATGTAACCCGAAGTAATTTTTCTTCAATACCCGACCCTACCCGACCCGTTCATGCATGGTTTACCAACTTATTTTGGGTACCGCGGGTTGGTTAATAGCTAACCCGAACAAATCGGGTAAACCTAAAAAATATAGCAAACCCGACCCAACCCGTCGGATGTGCAGCCCTACGTATAATTTTAAAAAATTGATACTAGATTCAGTGTGTGTGTACGCATTTTGTTTTTCGGTATTTACCAAATACTACGTACTAAAATATAATACATAGTATATCATTTATATTTTGTTCCAATCCAAATATGTGGATTGTGTATTGTATACGAAATATATTTCCTAAATGTGTGAATTGGATTTGTAATTTCTATATTTTGACTCATCTGAGAAGTGTTATGAGCAGGGGCGGAGGTAGAGGGGTGGCCAACCGGGTCACGGCCCGCCCCAAATTTGAAAATTCTTTGTATTTTTAGTGTAAAAATTTATATGAAAAAAAATATATGAAAAATTCTTTGTACCGGCTCAGTCCAACCATTAATGGTAGCCACGCCCCTGGTTTTTTTTCCTAGCCACGCCCCCGGTTATGAGACTTAAGATTGTTGTTATCATTGAATTTGCATGTAGGTTTAAACATACAAATTCAATAATAACAAAAGAAATAGTAAGTCTCATAACACTTTTAAGGAACTTTTTTCGATTTTAACTGTGATTTATTTCGGTTATTTAAAATGGTTATAAGAAGAACTGAATTTTCGATTTATCAAAATATTGATGATGTTCAGTTCGATAATACCGAGTGAACGCCCCTAGTGGCTTATATGGGAGTCTAATATTTTATGAACTTTCAACTTTGAATTAAAGATGACTCTAGATGGAGTTAATAACAACCGTGTCAATCAAATGAGAAGAATGAGCATGGTCCATTCTTTCCTAATTCCAATTTCTGGTGTCACAACATTCAATTTAAAATACGCAAAATAAGACGAGCAATATTAGTGATAGATAAAGATGGGTGCATTAAATTTCAACTTCAGGATATGTGATAACACCTGAAAGCAACTCTCCAGCCGCCGCCATTACAATATTCGCTAGCATGAATCCCCCATTCAAACAAATTATGTCCAAAGAGAAATTTTCTAAATAGTTTAATTGCAAAAATATGAGTATGATTTTATAATTCCCTGAACCACACTAGCTTTCCAATCCTACCCTTGTTTTGTTTAATACAATTCATATTTCATTAACAATTAAAGCATAAAAGTAATAACATATCTTAATTTTTTCAGTGTGAACAAAATTGCTTTCCATTTATCTATTATTATGTACTTGGGAAAAAATACATTCACGGTCCATTAAAAAAGATGAATAACGTTATCCAAAATCTGCACTTCATAAAGACATAAACAATGCTACAAACATATTCACTTTTGACAAAAACATGGCTATCAAGTATCAACCAAATAATGTGGCTTATCCAACGATGCCAAAGTAAATCCAGTGAACCAGCACAGTTCCCCAAGAAAAGGAAAAAAACATTAACTTCAAATAGCAATCTTTCAACATCCAAAAAAAATTAAACATGAAGTACAATAATAGAGTTAGTTAATGGATGACATGTTTCAATCTTCTGTAGCTCTACTGTGCAAGATCATCCAATGCCGCTGGACATTTTGAAGATGCCCAAGATCAATTTGAATTCCTCCAACACTTCTGACAATAACTTATCTGGTGAACGTATCTGTAAAGGGGAATTTGTCTGTATCAATTTGAATGCCCAACATCTTGCATGGTGTTGAAATGGGGAACTCAGCCGTATCAAACTAAACCTCCCGCTTAAGATCGCCCTTAAACAAGGCTTCTGATCATAAGCATTGGTTTCAAAAGAGAAACTTTTTGGGAACCAAACAAAAGGGACTCCATCTCTTATAACATAATAAACCAAAAAAATATGTAAGAACTAATCAACTGATGCCACTCCCTCCACAATATACGATTCAGGGTGTATTAGTACGCAATAAGTACCTTCATTGTGCCTCTTCACAAGAAAAGATTGGTTTTGCAATTGATTACATAATAATAGCACCGAGAGAGCTGGTTGGACCGGACCAAATGGTTGGAAAACAAACTCACTCTCTATCAACGTGCTTTGGTTCATTGCTTCTATCATCAACGACATCGGGAAGGCTTTTCAACACCTATAACAAAGAAGGTATCCCCGGAGAGAAGACAAGGGAGAACATTAAGGGTTCGGTAAGAATCTAGTGAATAATAGAGGACATGAATAGGGAAGATAGAGGAGGGATTTGGAAATTAAGGGGGAGTTAAATAGGTTCAAACTCAACGAATCAATTTTAAATTTTTGTTCACTACTTCACTCACTTTATTTACATATTTCTATTATACCCATATAAAGACTAAAATAACTGTTATTCTGTCAATATGGATTACTTAGCAGAAACGTCTTAATAAAGATAAAGTGCTTGGTAGAATCCATTTCGCCTAATAAAAAAATAAAAAAATGTTGTTCTATTGAAGCAGAATAATCCAGAAATAGCTTGCAAACGGGCTATAAAAGATCTAAGTACCTGTAAATCTAAAAAAGAACTATTTGAAGCTGATCATGTTGTCCTTTCCAAAGGGAAACCAAGATGCAATGGAATTACTAATTCTAGTTTACCTGATATAGGTGCCATGAAACAAAAGCATCTGTGGCAGCATAACATAAGTGCTCTTTGGATAAAACTCGAGTCTCCCAATTTCCCAATCTGAGATGGCTTGGCTTAGGGAGCTACAGAAGTCCAAATGCTCAATTAAATTTCACACTGGGGAAATAATAATTACTAAGCCTAAAAAAAGGTACACCAAGAACAACTAGGACACTTGATAAAACAAAATACGATAAGCAATATCTTTTAGTTGGAAAGAAAAAAGAAGTATAGAGGGCATTATTGAAGGTTGCTAAACAATGATGGATCACTGATATTTAATACAATTCGCCATGTTCTGCAGCTCAGACTGATATTCTAGGAAATAATTATATGTGTGTGGCTGTGAGTGTGCGGATGCATTGTTACAATACCTCTTTGCAAAGGAGTGATTCAGTCAATGAAGCTAGACCCCAACTTTTGGGATCCACACCAAGCTTTAGATTGGCTAGTGCAGATAGATCTTCCAAATTTGTAATAGATACATTATGATCTAGGAACAATTTGCGGGCATCATTTGCAATGTTTGAGCCCACCTGAACATGTTTGTTGCATGAAGTTAACAAACAAAGAACAATCACACAGAGTGACTAATAACAAAGGCTACACTTTACAGCAAATTAAGAATAAATAGATGATAACCTTCACGACGGATGAACTCTCAAGAAGTTCCTGCAGATTTTGTGGGATTCCAGAATGGCATATATGGAATACATAGCAATGACTCATTTCCCCACATATCTGCAAAACAGCTGCTTTCCCAGGGGCAACACCTACATGGAGGAACTAATAAGTCTGTCATTACTCATTATTTACCAATACTTTCTCTAGTATTCCGGATCAAGGGAAGGATTTAATATTAGGCCAACCTGACAGCCCCTCCAGGTATGAACACAAATACAGGGGCTAAAAGGGAGTTTCCCAAATTTCAACTTCAAGTTATAAAGTTAAATGAAATTTCCAAATCCTGTTCCTCCAATAAAGAAAGGAAAGGAATAAACACGACTAAGGTCAAGATGAATCTAATTACCATCTTGGCACCATGATGTTCACTTATAGAGTAGAAAAACTTTATGGGCCACTGTAAATTACTTTTTCTGTTGAGAAATAACTTACAGTCAATTTTCACAAAAAAATATTTTGCAGTATTTGCATGGGAAAAGCCAATAAGGGATGATCTCCAAGTGGCCATCATTAGCTAGAGAAAAGACTAAACAGTAAGGGCTTAATCTCTATGCACATTAGATTCTCATAATTATAAAAACAATTGAGTTGAACTCAAACTTAACTGGAACATATATTATCCTGACAGGGTAAAGACTTCTATTCGCCTGAAAAGAAGTGATCTGATCTGAATTTATGCCATCGATTTGGTCTGGTGTAAATCTTTCAAGCCAGATATGATTTTATCTATGTTTCTGGTCTAATGACTAATATGATTGTTTTTTAATTTTTTAATTTTCTTGTGTGAAATATTAGATCAAGTCTGTCCTTATCAACCTGGTCAGTCTAGTCTCAATATTTCTGGATTGCTTTAGTCTTGTTGATAACATGAACAAATAAAAAGCAGTTCACAGACCACGTCTTAAACCCCAGATTCACAGCAGGTGTAATGTTTATTGACAAATTTAAAAATACATTTGGGCTGTGCCTGTGTTTGAATCCCAAAAAACCCAGGGAAACTAACGAAAATGCCAATAAAAATCAATTTTTTGTGGTTGGATGTAGTGCCGATGTACCTAAAAATGCAAAGTAAGATAAGATATGATTCGTGTTTTCTAAACTTTTAAATGTGTCTAAATTGCTTAGTACTCCATATTATATACTCCGTGTGTGTGTGTTATTTTTATTTATTTTTTGGGAAAAGGAATTAGTTATGGACCAGTATTTCCTTCAAATACCAACCTCTTTTGAAACTGGGCTTCCATTCCATGTCAAGTCCAAGAGCAACCACTCCTACTTTCCTTTTGGTTTCAATAAAACTTAAAAGCTCTGCTGCAGACTTTTCGGCCTCAACTGAAGTTCTGCTGTACACAACACGCCCTCGGAAGGCTAATTCTGGCAACCTTTTAGCTAAAGCAATCCAATAGCCACAAATCAGTGATACTAAAGTTGAAGTAATGTACATTCTTGAACTTAAAAACAAGAGGGTTACGAGGATAAAGGCCATTACATTTATTCTTAAAGCGACGTCTATGGAAAGGAGACACATAAAGTGAATTTGAAAACAGTGAGGCGGGCAGTCTCCGGGAGCAGTTTTTGTCGGCACTACCATCATCGTCCACATCGTGGTCGGAGGACTTGACGGGATCGTGTTGCTTCGTGGCGGCAGATTGAAATGCAGCCTCGATTTCAATGAGTTCAACATCGGTGAAAGGACGATCCCAATCGTCGAAACTGGGCATCGACGAGGTGACCGATGTTTCCATTTACAGGGTTGTTCGCGCCGTTTACACTTTTCCGGTTGGCAGCTTCGAGTAGAGAAAATGGCTGTGGCCAATACTAAGGGTCCGTTTGCTTTTCAAAACCACTTCTTTTAAAAAACACTTCTCAAATTTTAAAAAAACATTTATTTTCCCAAATCCTAAATTTTTTATTTTTATCGACTTCCGCGTCAAAAGTGCTTTTAAGTTTTCTATTACACAAAAAACACTTATTTTACCAAACACTACCCACTTTTACTTTTCAAAATCACATTTTTCTCAAACACTATCAACTTTTATTTAATCACTTCTCCACATTTCATTAAAAAAAAACACTTTTTAAAAAGCATAAGCTATTGCAAACAGACCCTAAAAAAAACTACTCCGTATTTGAAAGCTGCGGTGTTTGAGGAAAAAAGTGATTTTGAAAAGTAAATATTGGTATTGTTTGATAAATAAGTGTTTTTTGTGTAATAGAAAAATAAAAAACAGTTTTGGCACAAAAGCCGAGAAACATCTTTTTAAGTATAAATTGTCACTTGACAAACACTAATTTTAGCTTTTTAAGCCAAAAGCCGATAATCGTTTTTTTTAAGCAGTTTCAAACACTCCCTAAAACATACTCCCTTTCTTAAAACTTTGTACAAAATTTAGTGAACCAGATTCAACTTTGACTGGTTATATATTTTTATAGAAATTATTTATAATATAAGAATATATGAAAATGTTCCTTTTCAAAAGTACTTCCTCAAAAGACTCCCAACTTTTTACACTTTTAATGAGATCTATTCTCTCTATGTGGCTATCTCCCCTAGGGTTAGGGGTTGTTTTTCTTCGCTTTCGTCTTCGACAAAGTGATTCTTTCTTTTGCGGCATTCGTCCGCCTTTCGTGAGGATGTCGTTCATGGTTGAGATTAGAAGGTCGTGGACGGAGCGTGGGACTAGGGGTTGAAACAGATCTGGACCGGAGGCAAGGAGCGGAAGAAGCTACAGTACTACTGGATTGTCCCCTCCTGAACCACCGCCATGGAGTGCAGAAGAGTTTAGGGTTTGGAAGCATCATTTTAATTTTACTCTTTTTTTTTCTTTTTTCTTTTACTCCAGGGGGTCTGGGGAGGGGGGGGGGGGGCTGAGGGCCTGGAGTAATCAGGGCTGAAACTCACTTCATTGAGTTTCGAACCCTTATGTGTCTAGCGGGTTTCGAACTCGAGACCTCCCACTAGGTCTCCCAAAAGGACTGCTAATCCTATTCAGCATGCTCGTAGCAAACATATTAAGATTGATTATCACTTTATCAGGGAGCGTGTGTCACACGGAGATTTGGTCGTGAAGTATATCTCTACATAGTTACAGTTAGCTGATATTTTTACTCCGAGCCTTTCTAGTCAGCAGTTTCATTTTTTTAAAGACAACATGTGCGTTGTACCTCGCACACAATTTGAGGGGGTTAAATAGAATTGAATATGTGGATCGTTGCGCTTACTGATACACTAAAAGCAATTGTTGATAGTGTAGCCCACCCCCACCCGCTCTTATAGCATAGACGAAGCGCCACGCGGTTCGATTGCACTGGCAGGCTGGCAGATTGCTGACACCACATACCTGCTGCCCAACAATCTCTCCAACATCTACCAGCCTCAACTGCGCATCATACTGTTGCCGGGGGGTTGAACCTGTGACCTTGTCTCTGATACCAATTGTGGATCGTTGCGTTTACCTCTACACTAAAAGCAATCGTTGATAGTGTAGCACGCCCCTCCCTCTTCATAGCACATGTGAAACGCCACACGGTCCGATTGCACCGGCATGCTGACAGATTACTGGCACCGCATACCCGTGGCCCAACATTATTGTTGTTGTTGTTATTATTATTGTTATTATTATTATTATTTTTGTTGTTGTTGTTGTTGTTTCTATACTACTGCTGTTATTGTTATTGTTATTATTATTGTTGTTGTTGTTGTTATTTATACTACTACTGATATTATTGTTGTTGTTGTTGTTGTTGTTTATACTACTACTGATATTATTATTATTATTATTATTATCACTATTATTGTCACTATTATTATTGGTAGTTACTATGTACTTGTATATTATAAATATAATTGTAACTATAATCATAACTATGCTTTTTTTTACAAAAAAAAAAGCAAATCTAATTCTAAGTAATCTGAAGTAAAATGTACAATGCTTTGTTCTGCAATTGTACATCCAAATGTTCTGAAGTAAAATGTAAAATGTAAAATCCAAATCAAATTTTAGACCTTTTATGAAAAATCAAGCATATATGCAATTGTTTTAAAGTAAAATGTAAAATGTAAAATCCAAACACAATTCTAGACCTTTTGTGATGGTTTCCCCTCATCTGGCACCACCTTGTCGTGGTTGTGAAGTATAACTATATCATCCCCAATCATTGTCGTGGTTCCTCATCGGGTCATCAAGCGCCGCCTGTTTGACAAATGATGTAAGTTTCTTGGTGGCAGAAGTCATCACGTTTTTGCTGGATTTTCCACCCCAAAAGGGCTCTTTTGAGAACTGCCTCTTACATGACACCCTAACACGCTATAGTGACACAAATATATAGGAAGGATTTCAGTCTTCCGCTCTAGACTTGTTTGTTCTTCAGCTCTTCAACTAATAGAAGGAAAACAGCTGAAGTGATGACATATGCCAGCCTTTCGATTGTACTGACAACCTTGTCAATATGGGTGACTTCTTCTTTTTTCTTTTTCGGAGATGATGTCGCCTTTCTTCTCGAGACAGGAGTGCCTTTTCTTCTTGAGACGGCAGTGCCTCTTCTTCATGAGACGACGGTGCCTTTTCTTGTTGAGACGACGATGCCTTTTCTTCTTCGTTATGAGACGACTGCGCTGAGACTACTCGTAGAATCGTCTTATTCTTCTTCGAAGCCCATTTGCACCGGTGCAAGTTGTACTATTGTACAAAGACTTAATCTGTTTTTTCTTACAGAGTAGGAGGATCTATTCGGCAGTTCCCCTGTTGTTATGATACCTCTATCAACTACACATTAGAATAAAGTTAACGGGAATATCGATACAATGTTACTAAGAGGTTGGGCTTAGAAGTTGTTCTATTCACCTGATTTGAATGTTTTTTATCTGAGTTTTTTAATATCTGGTGCGATCTATCTGATGTTTTCTAATCTGATTTGAATATTTATTTTTAAGACTCGGGGCTCCATCATAAAAGGTCAACCTAATAAGAGGAGCAGTCCAAAGTTTTATATAGTAATTTATTGTTTTATAGCTTTTCAGTGTGGGACAAATACTTTAACACGCCCCCTCAACCCGAACCGGGCTGGACAATACTAGTGTGTATAAATGGTCCAAACAGACCCTTAACAAGGCATCAAACAAAAATCGAAAGTGGCTCTGATTCCATGTTAAGACTTGGGGTTCCATACTAAAAGGTCAACCTGATAGGATGAGTAGTCCAAAGCCTTATATAGTTTTTTTTATTTATTGTTTTATAGCTTTTCGGTGTGGGACAAACACTTTAACATTTATGATCTGATATAAGTTGAATCTTGTTGATCTGGTCCTAATCTTTCAATTGATTTGAGCATAAGTATTTAGATTGAGATTTTTATTTTATTATTTTAGAGGCCTTTTGGCAACACCGTTTTTTGTCTTATTAGACTTATCAGCCAACTTTTTCACCAAACACGCAACTTTCGTTTTCACGCACTGAATTGTGTAATAATAAGAAAAGTAAGGTTGAAGTCACTTTTCTGGCTGCATCGGCTAAAGTTACTGTAGAGGGCCTTTTAAACTATTTTGTATATAGTTTTTTCTTTATTTTATTTAAAAAATATATTTTAAGTTTGATTTTTTCATAAATCAACAAAATCAGCCAATGCAGCCACTTCAGCCAGAACTTAATAAATTTTAGCAGAATCAGCTGATTTAGCCGATTTTAGTTTTACCAAATGGGCTCTTAATGTGGCACCTCAGTTTTAAATGTGGAATCGGGGCCTCCAAAATGATTGGACGACTCTGTGCAGAACTCCTTCTGTGAACAAATTTAACAATGTATAAATAACCTTTCTTATTATTATGACTGAATATCAAGTAAATTTATCAAAATATCTAAATTATATATAATCATTTTCCTTTTACTTGACAATTAAATTCAGTCATAAAAGATTTTTTGCGCATGATTAGTTATAACACATGGGATTTGCCGTATTTTTTAAATCACATTAAACCAATTATGTACACACATAATATTTAAAATCACCATGTAAAATCAATATTACAAGCCTTTTTGACAGGCGAAGCTAGTACAAAGAGTGAGATAATGGGAAAAGGATGCTCCAATAGGAGTCCTCACATGTGTATATATAATAAGAGAGTCTAAGTACAATAGGAAACAAATATCCCTAAGATACTCTGTTCATAGACAAAAACGTCTTATCACAGGCAATGAGTATAACAGTGAGTATAAGAGTTTGTATAAAAGTGTGTACAAATAACAAACTCGCACTCCCTCTATTCCGTTGGAATTTTCCAACTTTCCACTTTTGGTTGTGCAAAAAAACTTTACTACTTTCTTATTAAAGAAAACTAATTTGTGATTCTGCTCAATTCTCTTTCACGTGCACAAACCTCATCCGCACAATTTTACTTTTATTATTTGCCACTTACTTTTTTTTGGATGAAATGTAAATATATATTAACACCCAAGCAAAAATTAACAAGTACAATGTGTCCAAAAATCTAAAGTCTAAAACCCCCACCCCCTCCTATCCGTGCACAAACCTCATCCGCACAATTTTACTTTTTTTATTTGCCACTTACTTTTTTTTGGGATGAAATGTAAATATATATTAACACCCAAGCAAAATTTAACAAGTACAATGTGTCCAAAAATCTAAAGTCTAAAACCCCCACCCCCTCCTATTTCGTGAGAAAAGGAGAGGGTTAGGAGAGGCTTTTAGTCTAGTCTAAATCCAAAATAGCCAATACATGCAGCCCAAAGAAATCTAAATCTATGACCAATGCTACAAGGTGCACGCACTCGAATACAAACTGTCTAATGTCGTGGCATTCAAAAAAACATGAATCTTCTTAAAGGTTGATCATCTCATATGGGTAGATATTATAGAGTATCTTGTAAACCATATGCTTGACATTTGCAACAACATCATCTTCCGAAATTTTTCCTTCATCAAATCTAATAGAGTTCCTCGCATGCCATATATAGTATGCTGCGGCACAGAAGGCTAACCGGGCTGCCTTTGCCTTCAAGTTTGCTCCTTTGCGGCTCTTCGAAATCCACTTGATCTCACTAAGCAATGTATTCATTTGATGCCCAAATCCCATCCAGCTTTTGATCCTCTCCCACACCCTACAGGTGAATGGGGAGACAAAAAATAGGTGTGGAATTGTTTCCAATCCACCCTTGCATAGGTCACAACGATTCACAATATGAAGGTACCCAAGGCTATCCTGAGTGGGTAGCCTATTTCGTAGTGCTAACCAAACATTAAGAGAGATTTTAGGTGGAATGTAAGATTTCCAAATGAAGCTCATTGGGGGTCCTAACAGTCCCCTTAACTCTCAAAAGCTCATAGATCTTGGCCGGAATCAGTTTGCCATTAATGGATCTAGCGTTAAGGCCCATAATGGTTTCGTTCAAATTATTAAAACACTCACGTATTTTATTACGTATTTGGTATAACCTCTTCAAGAATTGTGAGTCACGGCCGTGTGAGACGAATTCCCACACACTTTTACCCTTAGGGTAAACGCCATTAACCCATCTAACCCAAAGGGTATCCTTCTTCTTATGTAGGTCCCAAAGTGTGGGAGAAAGGAGAGCGTCGTTCCAAACCTTAGCATTATGAATGCTAAGTCCTCCTTCCTCTTTAGGGAGACAAATGTCATCCCATGTCACTTTGACGTACTTGCCACCCCATAAGAAAATCCTACATATGGAAACTATCCTATCCAAAATCGTTTGGGGAACCGGGAAGGCTTGGAGCCAAAAAGATTGGACCCCTTGGATCACCGAACGGATAAGCTCCAACTTCCCAGCATAGGATATTGTTTTCGTATTCCATCCATTTAAGAAATCACTGACCGTGTCAAGTAACGGTGCATATTGGGCAATTAATACCCTAAGGGGTGCAAGAGGGATCCCAAGGTATCTAACCGGGAATGTCCCTTGCCCAAAGTCGACGAGGTCCAACAAGCTTTGCAATTCAAGGTCTCGCACCCCCCCACAAAAATGTTCGATTTCCCGTGATTTACTCTAAGACCCGATACATCTCCAAACTCTTTAAGGGTGTTAACTAATATTTCTACGGAATACGTATCACCCCTCGAAAAGAGCATAAGGTCATCTGCATAGGCCACGTGAGTAATACCGAGTGACGCACAAAGCGGATGGTAATTAAAGTTCGCCTCCTTGGTTCTCATGGTGAACAACCGGGAAAAATATTCGAGGCATAAGACAAATAATAATGGAGACATTGGATCTCCTTGCCTTATGCCTCTTTTTCCTTTGAAAAAACCATGTAACGACCCATTCAAGGAAACTCAGAAGGAAGCCGTTGACACACATTCAATTATCCAACCAACAAACCTAGAAGGGAAGCCCAGACCCTTTAGGACATTTTCAAGAAAATTGCACGAAATGGTGTCATAGGCCTTGTGCAAATCCACCACAATCATACATCTTGGTGAAATTCGCTTCCTATTGTATCCCCTAACAAGTTCCTGGGCAAGGAATATGTTATCAAACATTAGGCGGCCGTCTACAAAAGCACCTTGTGCTTGGTTAATTAAACCCGAGAGACATGAGTTTGATCTTGCCGCTATAATTTTTGTAATGACTTTATACAACACATTAGTACATGATATGGGTCTATAGTCCGAAACTTTAGGTGAGTGAGTAGTCTTGGGGATAAGTGCTATAACCGTATGGTTAATTTGTTTGAGCAACTTTCCCGAATGAAAAAATTCCCTAATTGCTTGGACTATGTCATCCCCAATAAGGTTCCAATTCGCCTTAAAAAAAGCCGATGAATATCCATCCGGCCCCGGTGCCTTATCATCTCCAATGTCAAACAAAGCATCTTTAATTTCCTTGTTCGATATTGGGGCAAGTAGACTATCATGAACACTTGGTTCAATCAAAGGGCCGTGACCTAAGACCAACGGATCAAGGTCAAGGTTTTCCACCTCGGTACCAAAAAGATCCATAAAAAACTTTACAAATTCATCACCCACTTGATCCAAAGAAGTGGTGACACTACCATCTTACAAGGATATGGATGATATAACATTTCGTGCCATATTCCTCTTCATTCCTCTTCATAATGGCATGAAAGTATCTCGTACCTTTATCAGCCTCTAGAATGTGTGTGGCCTTAACTCGTTGCTGGTAGAAGCTCGATTCGGCCTCCCCAAGAAATGCTGCCCGTTTCCTAGCCGCCATTAATTGCACTTTGATATCTTCATCTAGAGGTGATTCAAGCGCCAATTTATTCAATCTTTTAAAATCCTCCTTAATTAGCTTCCTTTGCCTTTGTTGAGATATGCTCATATTCCAATGAATTGAGCTTTATAAGTGGCCCTTTGAGCAATTTGAGCTTCCTCACAATCGAATGGGCTGTACCATCAACAAAAATGCTCCGCACCACTAAATTAGCAAAATCATGATGCTTGCTTTGAACTTGCAAAGTCCACCGAAAGGAGGAACCACTATTTTACGACGCCGTATGAGTTAGGCATTAAAGTGCTTACCTTTTTGTCGATTTTTTTTATACGGAGTATTTACCTTAGGTGGGGCTTCTATAGATAGAAACAAAGGTAGCGAAAATTTTGGAAAGAGCACTGAGAGTGTGATAAAGGCATATCCTCGCCTGCTTGCCCGGATGTACAGTGGCTGAACAATCCGATCAATCTTCTTTCCCTACCGCTCATCTCTCAGCCAGACTGTCGCACGCTATATCTCCGTTTCCATCTCCTCCATTCACACCGTTAATACCCAACTCAATCAATATACGGTATCTACCTTCCACTTAGCTAGGTCGCAGTCTACACCACGCCGTTCGTCTAATTATAACTATCTGTCTTCTTATTATGTCGTATCTTGTTTTCTTTGTTCTTACATATCGCCTTTATATCTTATCAGCAGTGAATAGATCAGCTTAGACGGT